CCTGCCTTTCCTCTGGGCATTGAACCCAGCCCCTAGGAGCAGGCCGGGGGAACCGGAATCCTGTGGTTCTCCGCTGTACTGTGTAGGAGCATTCAACCACACTCAACACGCTCTGAACTTGGGTGAGGAGGAGGGGAAGAAGAAGGTGCCAGGAGGAGGTCATGAATCAAGTGTCATGTTCTCTTGGCTCTTCTAGTTTAGATTTTGTTGAAATTGTTATTTCATGTGCTGTAGATGCCTAACACAAGTATGAGAGAATTTTGTGTTTTGGATTTTTTTTTAATTAGTTTGAGAAGCTGGTTTCCTCTGCAGATGGCCGCCTTGACCAGGAATGGGTCAGGCTGAAGCCAGGAGCTGGAAACTCAATCAGGTATCTCAGGTGGGTGGCAGGGACCCAGCTGCTGGTGCCATCGCTGCTGCCTGCCAAGGGCTGGGTAGGCAGGAAGTGAGTCAGGATTGAGCTAGAGGCAGGTATTTGAACAGTGGTACTTAACCATTGCCATTTTTTCCTTACATTTAGAAATATTTTATGTTGTCTTATGATGTAGTTCCATAGGCTTTGGGGTTGCCCAGGCCCTTTCGCAAGGTTACCCACCACCCATTGGTTTCTCCTCTAGTTTTATAATGGATGTCCTCCATGAACGGTCACAAGTCCATCATGTTGTTGAAGTGTTTCCCAACAAGGTAGGCATGGACATTGTCACAGTTCATCATCTTACTGTTAGGATGTATTCAGTTCTTTCACTGGGAGTCCATCTTTGGTCTGTATGTATAGAGACATACAATACTTTGTTTCCACATATGAGCATATCAACACCTGCTTCACTTCCATTATATATCCCTTAAGTTACAGCACCATTGAGCACAGTCCACAGGGGTGAAAATAATAAGTTTTCATCAGTATGAATTTAACAAACATGCTGTTAAAATAAAAATGCATCACAGGGGTGGTGAAAAAATCAACCTTCTGGTAGGAATAGATGCCAATGCATCATCCTTGTGGCACTGAAGAAATTACAATAAAAAACTAGACCCTCATTACTCATGATATGTAGCAAAACTGTTGAAATGGACATTTACAATCTCAAGTGTTTACAAGCAATCCATCTCTTATGGATGATCAATTAATGAATCACAGGAACTTATTGGGAGAGACACAAATAAATAGGAAGTGTGAATGAAAAGGCAAGATTTACAGCAAAAACAATTAAATTTGACCCCACAAAACTGCAAATTGAAATAAGAGAGAGCCATTCTGTAAGAGGATGAGCCAAACAATCCTTAGCAATATTAGCATTGAGATTTTTGATGGAAGTTATCTTATATCACAGCAAACATGTGGTATCTGACCTTTGGAGACTGGCTCATTTCCCCTAGCATTATAGTCTCCAGTTCAGCCTACTTGGCTACAAACGATTGTATTTCATTCTTTTTAATAGCTGAGTAGTATTCCATAGAACAGACGAACCACAGTTTCTTTATCCAGTCCTCTGTTGATGGGCAGCTAGGTTGTTTCCAAGTTTTTGCAATTTGTGATTGTGCTGCAGTGAATTCAGGGGTGAATGTTTGCTTTCTCATGCATCAGGTCCTTTGGATATATTCCCAGGAATGCAATTGCTGGATCCTATGGCAGGTGAATTTTCAGTTGCTTGAGTAATCTGCATACTGACTTCTACAGTGGCTGCACCAGCCTGCATTCCCACCAACAGTGGAGTAGGGTTTCTTTTCCCCACATCCTCACCAGCAGATATTGTTGGTAGTTTTCTCTCTGGGGGCCATCCTTACTGGAGTTAAGTGGAGCTTCAGTGTTATTTTATTTGAATTGCCCTTGTTGCTAGGGAGTTTGGGGACTACATCAAACTAAGAAGCTTCTGTATAGCAAGGAAACAACAAAGTGAAAAAGCAGCAAACAGAGTAGGAGAAAATCTTTGCACACTACACAGGAGACAAGGGGCTAATATACGCAGTATACAGAGAACTCCAACATGGCCATAGCAACTAAAAGAGCAAGCCAGTGAAGAAATGGGTGATGGAAATGAGCACTTTTCCAAGGAATCAACCCAAAGGCCAACAGACATTTGCAAAAAGTAAAAATAGCCATCAGCATCTTAACCAGCTTCTAAAGCACTAGGCCAAATGCCTGTCTCTGACTTCTACAGTTCTGGTTATTGATTGGCTGATTGGAGTTTGCATCAGTTGGGATACTGTTGGAGAATAGGTCTGTGGAGTGCTTCACACTGCTGTTCCACAGAATTTTTCTTTCTCTCTTTTTTTTTTTTTTCGTCTGTGACAATAAATGACTGTTTTACTTTCACCTGTCATTTGGGTTGTAGCAATGTGTATCCCAAAGACTCTGTTCCTCCTGCTGTTCCAAGAAGGCTTACATAAGTTGGGCCCAGACGCTAAAATCTCAACAGTTGTGTGCCCATCATTCAGGGTTTTTTTCTGTCACTCACAGAATGTGCAAGTGACAGAAAAAATCATTGGTTTCTCAAGGTTAATTTTTTCTTATGAGACCAATCAAAATCTGATGGTCTTGTGTCAGTGTGTTTTGTGTTGTTGTAGCAGAGAACTCCAGACTAGGTCGTTTACTGTGAGCTGGAAGTTAGTGTCTCATGGTTCTGGTGGCTGGGAGCACCAGGATCCAGGCCTGCTACCTGGCCTCTGTGCTCTATCATACAGTGGCAGAAGGGCAAAGAGAGGGCAGGAAAGCGGAAGAATGGGCACGGTCATCCCTGTAATCATGGATCTGCTTCTGAGGTAGCAGCAATCATCCATTTATGAGGACAATACCTTTCTAGACTAATCCCCTGTTGTTAAGTTGCAACTCCCACTTGGTGGCACTGGATGTTAAGTTTCTAGCACATGCATTTGGGGGACCATATGCAAACTCCAGCAGCACTAGTAGATGAAACTTGCTCGGTAGTGCCAGGGTTACTGTTTCCGTGTGGGCTGTTCTTTCCAGGGATACTGAGTGTTCCAGAATAAAAGTCACTTTACACAGCGTCACTGCAAAAGGACCTAACATTTCCCACTCATTCGCTGTCCCATAGGGTAAGCGTATGGATGTGTTGAAAGTCGTTTGGCACATGTGTCTCACAGATTATTTCTAGACCATAAAGGCTTTTCAGTGATTGTTGAAGCCTTAGAACAAAGGAGAGTTTTGTTGGGAAGTGTATTCTTTCTGGTAATTGACTGAGGAACGTGGGTTTGCTTGCTTGACCTTAAGCTGCATCCTCCAGCTACCTGTAGGATCCACCAGAGAAAGCACTGGAAGCATGTGGACTTGAGCTCCTACATCGCAAAGCCGTGCAGAGCTCTTTGTGTTCTAAGTATTTGCAGGAAAGTAGTCTTCATTCTCCTCCAGTAGCATCCTTTGGGAACGAGCTTGGTGATATTTCTGAGAAAGCTTTCCAAAGGCTGTGCTTCTGGGTTTGGTTTCCGTTTGAAATACTCGCCTAATGGGCTGAACGTGCTGAGAAAAAAATGTTACAACTTCCCATTTATGTCACAGAAGTCCTTTAGTATTCTCAACAGAAGAGAGTTGCTCAAGAAAATAATTCAAATGCATAGTAATCCAGGTTAATCTCTATAATTATTTTAATTTAAAATTTTATTTCTTTGAAATGTAGAAAGAGATTTTTCCATCTGCTAGACAACTCCCCAGATGCTCACAACAGCTGGCACTGGGTGCCTCCAGAGCCATGGGCTGAAAACTCCTGCAGTCTGTGGTGTGGGTGCCATGAACCCACCACTTGATGTCCCCACTGCCCCGCAGTGTTGGCGTTAGTAGGAGGCAGGAATTGGGAGCAGAGCTGACACTTGCCCTCGGACACTCTGGTATGCGATGCAGGCATCTTAATCAGCATCTTAACCACTACCCCAAACACATGCCCCCCTCCCAGCAAGTGTATGTCACTGCTAAAATATTGACCCGTTAGAGATGGTGTTGTATAGTTTAGTGCGTTACATTCAGCTCTTTGCTGTCAGCCAGCTGTTTTAGGTAAATTGGTAGTGTTATATTGCCACAGAATATTTTTTGAAACATTTACGTATATGTATATTAATCAAAAGGGGTTAAAGTTCTTTAAGATAGGATATTTTTGATTTGGATACTGTGCAACCTTTGACCAAACACAATAAATTGAAGCTTTATTGATGAAATGAAGTTTCATTTTATGAACTAAGCATCTTAGTAGTGAGTCAGATTTGAAATTCAGTCATTTCTCTTCAGAATCTTTTTGTTGTTGTGCAGGTGCACTTGTGGAATGGAGGTTTGGAAGTCCTTTTTCTGCTGTGCTAACAAAATGCCTGAGGCCAAGCTCTGTATAGAGAAGTATGCTTAGCTCATGGTTTTGGAGGCCAAGAGTCCAATATCATATAACCCCCTTCGTTTGGTTTCTGGCGAAGACCGCATGGCAGGTGTCATCATGGCAAGACTGCTTGCAGGAGGCATCAGATGTCAAGACCAGAAGGGTAGGGCAAAGCCAGGCTTGCTCTTTGTAACAGTCCTCTTGTGTGACAGTCCTCCTGTTGGGAGGTTAATTCCTCCCAGAGGTAACATCCCTCTGTCAGCCCACTGAGGACCAAATTTCATGCACTTAAGTACTTGGGGGCAGAATGAAGCTGTTTCTGAATCTTAGCAGTAGGAGGGCTCCAGGTAAAACACAAACCGGGCTGATGGTGGAGAGAGCATGTGTTTCGGAAGGCTGGAGGTTTATTCCTTCCTGATGATCTCAATGAAAAACTCAGCTTGGGTGTCAGTTCCTTGTCTCTGATGAAAGGACATTTTGGAGATAGTGCTGGCTGTTGAGCATCAGGACTGCTGTGACTTAGAGCATCGCGCTAGTGTGTCTACCAGAGCTAGTGTGCCTACCTGGTTGGTAGTTGAGGGATGGGTCTCCGTGGGAGTGGCCCGAAACTGGCTGTGCCACACACGGTTATCACCACGCTCTCCAGTGCCGTTTCCAGGAATGTCTTACGTGCATGTCCTCCTGCAGATAACTGGAGGCGCAGGGTTCGTGGGTTCCCATCTCACCGACAAACTCATGATGGACGGCCATGAGGTCACCGTGGTGGACAACTTCTTCACAGGCCGCAAGAGAAATGTGGAGCACTGGATCGGCCACGAGAACTTCGAGCTGATTAACCACGATGTGGTGGAGCCTCTCTACATTGAAGGTGAGAGGAACCTGCACAGCGTCACTGTTTTCCGTTTGGCAGATGGTCCCTCCTGGGGCAGCCAGATTCCCCCAGGCAGTCCTTCTGACCTGGCTGCGCCAAGTGTTGTGTTCTGCCTTTGAAGTGAGCTGGCTGTTCACAGGGCAGCATCTTAGTGCTGGCGGTGGGGGGTCTGTCAGTGGGAGCTTCAAGTTTCACTGCTCTGTGAACAGGTTTTTTGTTGTTGTTTTTAAGATTTATTTATTTATTGGAAAGTCAGATATACAGAGAGGAGGAGAGACAGGGAGGAAGATCTTCCGTCCGATGATTCACTCCCCAAGTGAGCGCAATGGCCGATGCTATGCTGATCCGAAGCCAGGATCCAGGAACTTCTTCCAGGTCTCCCATGTGGGTGCAGGGTCCCAAGGCTTTGGGCCGTCCTCGACTGTTTTCCCAGGCCACAAATAGGGAGCTGGATGGAAGTGGGGCTGCCAGGATTAGAACCGGTGCCCATATGGGATCCTGGCGCATTCAAAGCGAGGACTTTAGCCTCTAGGCCATGCCACCGGGCCCCTCCGTGAACAGTTTTGAGCTTCTGACAATCGTTAAAAGGAATATTTGTGAAATATACATGTGCTATGGTCTGAATTTGTATGTCCCCCCCCAAATGTTGCAAGTTGAAATCCAAACCCCTAAATTGGTGGAATTGGGGATCAGACCTTTGGGGATTGGTAGGTTTAGACAAGAGACCTTGCAGACTCCCTCACCTGTTACACTGTATGAGAGCAGAGAAGGCACCATCTGTAGACCAGGGCAGGAAGCAGGCTCTCACTGACCCAGGGCTGCCAGCAGCTCAGGAGTGCTCAGTACACGCCTGTCATTTGTCAGTCACTGCTAAACAGAGTAAGCATCCATAGCGCAGGGGATGCCTGAGCTGTTTCACATGCAGTTACTCTGAGCTTCCTGTGGGAAGTTAGCTGCTGGAAAATGCTGAATTCATGATGATGTCCTACTTAGCAGTGTTGGAAGTTACTTTTCTACTGTAAAAGGAATTATGGTTTGGGGCTGTCATGCAGTGAATGGTGACTCCAAAAAGGATTGGTCCCAAGCTTAACACCCAGTACCTGGAAATATAATGCTGGTGGCGAAAGAGTCTTTGCAAATGAGCCCAAGCAAATGTGCCCAAGGATTTCTGAGTGCTGTGGATGGACTAAAATTCCATGTTCTTATAAGAAAGGCGGAGATGAGAGAGCACATGGAGAGAAGAGGAGAAGGTGGAGTGGGGTCCCACAGGCCATGGCAAGGAGCACTTAAGGAGGTGAGGGGAGGATTCTCCTTTAGAGCTGCTGGAGGAAGCGTGGCTTTGCTGACACCTTGCAGTCAGACTTTGCCTGCTGTTTATAACCACCTGGTTTGCAGTACTTGAGTAGAGCAGCCATGCAGGTTGCTAATTTAGCAGGCTTCTGTAGACTGCAAACCGTTTCCTCCGAGACTCTGTAAGCTGTGTTGCTCATAGACGCCTCTGAGGAGCCCGCAGACTTAACTGTGTTCTCTTTATGTGACCGCGGCTCAACAACCCCTGCCTAGAAGAAGAACTGGAGTCAGGTTAGATCAGACTTGACTGCACAGCGGCCGAGGACTCAGGCTTGGATCCAACTCCAAGTGTGCAGTTAGCTGCTCCTCTCCCACCACACCCGCTGCCACAGAGCATTCCGCTCTGTTTTCATGTTTCAGGTCAGATCGCAACCATTTCCTGCATGTCAGTAAACAGTACCTCGAGGGATCCGTGTCACTGCTGAGCAGTTCTCACTGTGTGAATATATCATAGCTACTTACTGCTACTCAGTATTCTCCAGAGAGTATTATTACCAATATCCCTGTCTGAATCTTATATCTGCAGTAGAAATCATGTAATAATTGTACCCAGTCATGCTGTTCTCTTTCCTTCATTGTTCAGTGGTGTCTGTCATCTCTACTATATTGGTAGCATTGAGCCTTATCTCAAACAACTAACAGTGTTTCACTGACATGACAGAAAGCACTGTTTCAATGTACATTTCTTTGGCTGCTAAAAAAGGTTAGACTTTCTAAAGTGTTAATTCACAAAAAGAATTGCAAATTGTTTTCACTCACTTTTCGAGTTTTAGGCAGTAGGGACGTGAGCCGTGGACATAGTTACAGCATTCCTTCCCCAGTCTAGCTGTTGCCTTTTCACTTTGTTGAACTGGTATCATTTTAATATAATCTTATCTGCCTATATCCCTCTGCTGTTTCTTCTGTGCCTTTTATATTCTCACAATCCCAAGGTTGCATAAATAGTTAGCATTTCTGAAGTAGTCAGTTTTTTATTGGCCTCCTGCTTCCCTTTGAAGCACTTGGCCGTTGATTTGGGGTCCACATGGGGACTAGGCTGCAGTTTTTGTGACAACAACTTAGGCAGTTGTCTGATACACCAGGGTTAGGGTGTAGTGTGGGTGTCGCCTAGGACCCCATTGTGCCCGGAGGATTGGCCCTCAGCAAGGTGGTATTGGGTGGAGCTGTGGATGATGAATAAGAGCTGAGCCTTTGGGTCAGTTAGAGGTGTTCCCTCTGACACAGGGAGGGCAAAGAGCGGCTGCCTGTGGGCCGTAGAGGTCCTGTAAAACCATTGGGTCCAGCACCTCAAGGCAGCCACAGGCAGGACTTGAAATCCAGTAAATCGCTATAGTGGACTGATTTTTAAGTTGATAATTTTGTTCTGACGTGCAGATGAGGTTATAAATATTGAGATGGCTCTTGGCAGGAAACGAAGGTCCCCCACACCTGCTGTAAAGAAGGGACAGTGATTTCTGAATCTCTCCCTTTTCCTGACACTCCACTGCCACTGGCTACCTGTCTTGATCATCCAGGCCTCACACAGCAGAGCTCACGTAGTGCCATGCCTTTTGGATCTCTGGAACTGCAGGCTAGATGAGCGTCTCTTCATGGTAGCTAGTACCAAAGCTGACGGATAGCCTTCTCTGTGGAGTTGCGGTGGGGTCAGTTGAAGGGAGGGCAGGTGAGAAGCGCTTCAGCAGGTGGACTTCTACAGCCGTCCTGCCCAGGTAGCCCCTCCCAGTGTTCAGCAGAGATGCTCTGATACACTTCAGGTCTGCTGCTTTTAAACCTAGGTTTCTTGGATTTTCTGAACCCTTACAAGCAGAAGAAAGTGGAAGAGAGCCTCGTAGAGGGATGCCTCGGGCAGCCAGAGAGGGTCACAGTGGAGAAGGACCTTACCTCCACTGCTGCCGTTGCGGCTGAACGGGACTCCCCCCTGTGGCTGGCAGGAAATGAAGAACTCAGTTGAGCAGCCTTGTGGAACTGTATTTTGCCAATGTCTTGAATTAAATTCTGTAAAAAGGAATACAGCCAAACCAAGATTTTGATTGCAGACTCAGAGGCTTAGCCAAAAACCAGCTGAAAATTGCATAGGACCTGTGACCCAGACACCTATTAGGATACAGGGGGTCATAAAGCCGCTGGATTTATCAGGCAAGCATAGAAGACACCTGAAAAGAGTTACCACAGTATCTGGCCCCAAGTTTCAGATTTCACAACCTTTGTGGGTTTCAGATTTTTGGCTTGTGGATGCTCAGATGGAGAAGTCTGCGCAGATATTCCTAAATCCCAAACACTTACAACTGAAGTACTTGTGGCTTTAAGCATTTGCAATAAGGGAGTTCAATCTGAACTACTAAAGAACCAAGCATAGTGAAACGTGGCATGTTGCTAACCTGCCTTCTTCATCAGCCCAGCCAGGATGCTCCCCTTGGACTATATTGTCTAGGAAACAGGGAGACAAGCAGAAATGGTCTGTGTGTTCACACAGGCATGCTTTTTCTCAGGAGAGGGCAGTCATTTCCAGTCCATAGGTGATGAAACCCTTGGCTGTGCAGGGTCAGCTGTATTTCTGCCAGGCCTTGGCTTGGCACAAGGAAGAATACAAGTACAGGTGCCCTTATGATAAGATTTGAACATGTGCTGAATTAGTTGTCAGTGTTAACATAGTCTTTGCTTTCCTTTAACTGACACTTAGCAGCTCTGTGGGCATGGGACTGGCACAGGGGCCTCGATACAGCGCATCTCAGAGACTGCCGTCTGAATGGTGGTGTAAGCAGGCAGGCAGTTTAGGTGGGTCTCCCCTTTGATAATCCACTGCATATTTCCACTGCGTATTACCTGATTTCTCTGGTTGATTCTGAACAGTGATCTGGGACTGTCCCCAAATCTACTCAGTTTCTGCGAGCTGGTGTTTCGTTTCGTTTTCTCCCCTGTTTGAGAGCCATTGGTGGACATAGAAGCACACAGAATTCATCTGAAGGATGTGTAACAAGACTGCTTGAGTTTCCCTTCAGAATCCCCGGAAGGCTGGCCAGCCCCTCGCCGGCTTCCCAGCCCTAAGTTACCTGAGAATAATGTGATAATGTGCTTGCCTTCCGGTAGAGATGCTGTTGATAATTATTTGGGGCTCTTTCTAGCTCATTTCTTGGGGCTACTATTTTTCTGGATGAAATCATAATACGCGGCTTTGCAAAAGTGAGAGAGTCATGGCAGGGTCTCTGGGTGGCTAGCCTCCAAAGGCTGTGTGTGTTCAGCAATGAAGGAGCGTGCCTCTTGTCAGCCCACAGCTGCTGCCAGGGTCCTTCCTCTGCCCACCTTGGATTCTTGAATGGTCTGTGTGGTTTTGGTGCAGTGATCATCAACATAGTTGACACACTCCCAGAGCTTTTTGCCTGGCTGGTGAGAGCTAACTCTGCTGCTTTATTGCATTTCCAAGATGTCTTTTACTAAGCCTTTTTTAAATTGCCTTATTTTGCATCTCTCACTGCTGCTTATTTGTCCCTAAGTTTCTCGTGCCTCTCCCCTTTGTAACTCTTTATTAATTAGCTGATCAGAAATCTCTAGTACAGTGCCCCTCTTAGGATAGGAGCAGGAGTTACTGTTTTAATGACACAAGTAGAACATTTTCCTAGGAGAGGGACTATGGAGAGCGTTGAATTTTCTAATTCTTCTTAGGTGGGATGACCTGTCAACCTTACTAAACCGACGCTGTGATGTAGTCTCACTGGACGTTAAGTAGCTAGCTAGATAGATTACAGTAAGTCAGAAGAAATGCGTGATTGCCTGATTTGCAGCTCATTTCTTCCACTAAGCTGGCTTATATTGAGCACCGTCCCCGAGTAGCTCAGGCCCAGAAGCCATGGAGGTCAGGGAACAGCAGCAGGTGCTCTCAGAGCCTGCCGTCTTCCATCTTCTCTCTTCCCCTGCATGTCACGCCTGCTGCAGAGTCAGCTGGTATAGAGGAGTATGTTCTGGTGGTTTTTTTTTTTAATAATAATAAATTTATTTTATTTTTGATGATGTTTACATTGTTAAGAATGCACCCCCATGGGGACCAGCAACTAGGGTAGAGAGGGTCAAGAAATGGAGGATAATGGCTGAGATTACTGTTTTCAGTCTTTTTTTCTTCCGGTATCTGGGAAAAGTGGGGAGAACAGGGGATGGAGCCACTCCCAATAGCCCAAACACATCAGCAGCCGGATATGGGGGATGGCCACCCGACGTCATCCCAGGGTCCCCAGTGTGGAGCATGTCTGAGAGTACTGCCCAAGTGGTCGTGATAGGTCTGAGATGCTCTTGATCTCATTGCTGCAGGGATGAGGAAATTCTTCCAAGATCCTTTGGCTGACATGGTCCACCTTAGTCTCTCCACTCACCCAGATATTTGCTGTCAAAGCTTGACCAGAACTATCCAGTTTGTTCTGCTTGCATGGTACTAGACATCCTCCGCAGGCCTCGGTGAACTGCTTGTCGTGTCCCCCATGTGCTTCTGGGCTTGCTATCCTCTGCACAGGCTTCAGCAGCTGAGGAGACCCAGTTCTGGCACATGCACTCCACAGTCAAACCACACAGTCTATAATTTTCCTTATGGTTGCAATTCTGAGTCCAGTGGTCCAGCTGGGATGTGAGGGATCCTCAAAGAAGACTCACCAGCGATAACCCCAGACCTGACTCCTTGTGTGCCAGCCAGTGTAGGGTCTGGCTTTTTCCATCTCCCACCTCAGCCTACACACACACACTGGTGGTTGCAGTTGCCCGATTAGTTCCCCAACCCCATCTGCTATACGGGTTGCCAACTGGATGCTGCGGCTGCGGCCTAGCTTAACCCTGCCCACCACACACTCAGCCCTCACGCACACCAGCAGGAACTTCAGCCTAGTCAGAGTGGCTTCCAGGATCCCCCATCAGGCCCCGACCCCAGCCACATTATTGCATATACTGATTTATGCTGCAGGCTGGCCCAGTTCATCCCTCGTCCCATTCAGGTCTCATACACAACCCCCCTATGTAGCTAACAGTTATACTGGCGGTGTCTCTGCCTATCAGGCCAGGCCTGCCCCAGACTCTGGTTCTCACGCTCACCAGTGGGAGCTGCAGCCCACCAGAGGAGTCCCTACAATTTCCCTACTTTGCCCACCCCCAGCCCCAGATCTTTTATGTATGTTGCTTCACAACAAAATGAAAACATTTGCTTTGGATATTCAGGCTGAATTTTGTGATTTGAGTGCTTTATCTGGGACAGGTACCTCAGAAATCAACCAATTCGGTGATCAAATTTCCGCTGGTTGGTGACGAATAGCCTCAGACAGCTGACTCAATGTGTGTTTTGTCTATAGAAGGCTGGACTTTCTCTTTTTGTTCTAATTACCAAATGTGAATTAGTATCTATAAATAGTAACATGTGAACAACTAGACTTTCAGTGAAAGAAACACTATTGCCATTATTAAATGATGTAATTCTTGGGAGGGTGTGTGTGTGTTTGCGTGTGAGCATGTGTGCACACGCACACATGCCTGCCTTTTGTAGGAATAACAGGCTGTTATTTTGTTTGTGCAGTTGATCAGATATACCATCTGGCCTCCCCAGCCTCCCCTCCCAACTACATGTATAATCCTATCAAGACGCTGAAGACCAATACAATTGGGACACTAAACATGTTGGGTGAGTTGTCATTGTCTTCTATTTGCCGCTCTGTCTGGGGACATGTGAGATTTCAGGCATAGATGGAATGAATAGTCCCGTCTTGTCTGGGAGGCCACCTCATCAGGTGAGACCGTGGGTGATACCTAGCCCTATGATTTTGCACCTTCTCCGTCTTAACTGATTTTTTCATCGCAAACCATGACTCTGCTTTTCTAGTTTGAAGTGTAACAACAAAACTGGCATGAATTTTGTTTTCCTTCACAATGTCATGCGTAGAAAATTAATTCTTACCATAGATCTCACATAAACTTGGAAATTTTTTCCTAATTGAGAACCTATACCTCTTCACGTAGAGAAGCATTTTATAAATTTTCGTTGGCATATTTGAGTGGCCACCACTACTCTTCTAGCTTTCAGAGGCAATTTTTAAGTAAGGTAAGGGTGACTTGAACACAAGAACTATAATACTACAGCCGTCGATCTGACCACCTGAGCTACCGAGTGGCCGATGGGCGTGAAACGCGTGGACATGCTGGACAAAGGGGTGATTCACATCACGTGGGACAGAGGTGCTTGATATAGGATTTTATCACGCTACTCAGAACAGCACAAAATTGAACTTAGGAATTTCTGCTAGCTTCTGAAAAGCTTCTACCTCATTTTTTTGGATGGCAATTGACTGTAGCTAACTGAACCACAGATGCGGTGGAGCAGCTGTAAATGTTGGTGTCTAATCTTTGTATTGGCCCCCTCATTGCACAGCCCCTGCAGTTTGAAGCTTCCTTCAGAGCTCATCATGAGGGAGCAATTCTAAATAACCTTTACGCACTTCCTTGTGTGGCACTCACAGTTTGTAACCGATCAGTGTGAACACACTTGAATGATCACAGACACTCCGGGCTGACCATTCTGCTTTCCTCCTTTTTGTCTGTATGAAGCTAGCTGACTGATTGCCGAGGGCCGACGGTGTGCATTGTGCTGCAATGAGGTGAAGTTGTTGAAATGCCCAGGGGACCCTTTGTTGAAAACACCCCCATCTCCCTGCTGTGGTGCTGTTGTATACTGGTGTGGGGTGTACGGGGTCTGTGAAGTCCCCAGACTGACACTCCGTCTCTCTAGACGTTCCTTCACCCTAGCACATGGTGGGTGGCCTCAGTCCCACTGATCGCCAAGTCCTCACCCTTAGCGGTACCATATCTAATTGTTATTTATTAATTTCTAAAATTTTTAACGTAGCTGTGGCCTGCCAACTGTACGTATAATGTTTCAGCGCTTGTACATATTGTGTAGCATTCAAATCTCAGTACACATGATTTGGATCATGGACCTCAAACCATTTACCATTTTTTAATATGAGAACATTCAGAATCCTTTCTTTCAGGTCTCTCTCTCTCCACACCTTACAATAGCTTCGTGTTGTCTTGTTCTTAAGGTACACCTTCATGGCTGTCTTTTCCCACAGAAGCTCAGACACTCTTTCTCTCCTGATGAGATCCTTCACCTCGGCCCTCCAGCACTGCCCATACGTGTGTACATCTGTGCCTCATCTCCCTTCTCTCACATGACCTGCTGGGGGGTCCCTGCCAGGTGCAGCGCCCAGCTCAGCCCCCCAGCACTGCCCATACGTGTGTACATCTGTGCCTCATCTCCCTTCTCTCACATGACCTGCTGGGGGGTCCCTGCCAGGTGCAGTGCCCAGCTCAGCCCCCCAGCATTGCCCATACGTGTGTACATCCATGTCTCATCTCCCATCTCTATATGGCCTGCTGGAGAATTCTTGCTAGGTGCATTTCCCAGCTCAGCCTCCCCTCCAGTTTGTGCTCAGTGATGGGGTGTATTTAGGAAGCAAAGGGCCTCATAAAGATCATGAGCTTCTCAAAACTGCTGAGGCCACAGGGACCCTGGAGAAGAGCTTGAGGGCTCTCTATTCCATGGTACCTGGAGATAGCTGTGTTTTAGTTCCTTCTGTGCGTGATTGTACAGTCAAGTACTAGAGCGGATTCAAAGCATTGAGGAGCAGGGCGAGCGGCATTGGAGAAGGGGTGGATGAGCTAGGCCTGGAAGGTTTAAGAGGGCTGCTGCATTGCCCAGATGAGAGCTGCATAGGCACAGTTGGAAGGTTGCAAGCAGGTTGAGGCAGGTGGCCTGCCTGGAGACCAGGTGCGAAGGTCCCACTGCCTACCAGGGGGATTTTACCGGATGAACTACAGTGTGGTATTTGAGAGCATAGGAGTCTGTCAAGAAAGTTAGGAACTTGAAACTCAGTCACATCTCCAGTGAGGGTATAGGGACTCAGCTGCTTCAGCCAACCCCTGCTGCTTCTCAGGTATACCTTAACAGGAAGCTAGACTCAGCTCAGACCAGGACTCCAGCCCAGACACTCTGGAATAGATGTTGCCCCCCACCCCCAAGAAGCATCTTAAGCCTGCACCATATGCTTGCCCTGGCTTCTGCTGGATTTTGGTTGCAAACCAGCTGTGCTAAGAGTGGGTAACTCAGTAGATCATCAGATACCTTTAATGTACTGTTTAAACTGTGCACACAAAAAAGTACTTGGTCAGATAAATTGAGAAATACTTTAATCCTGCCTTTGCCTTTTTAGGGCTGGCAAAGCGAGTTGGTGCCCGTCTGCTCCTGGCCTCCACATCCGAGGTGTATGGAGGTGAGTGAGGCCCCTACGGGGGTCGCTTCTTGGTCAGGAGAGCTGCTTGCATTCTGTCTTGGGTGCAGGAGAAATGGAATCTGGATGGTGTGGTATCTCTAAGCAGTCCCAGGCTGCAGGTGCTCTTCCCAAACAGAGCAACTAAGAAGGTTGCCATCTTGACCCCTGTGGTTGGCATGATCCTCTGAGAGGGACAGATGTTACCATACTTCTAGGAAGGCCGCCTTCCCTGGGAAAGGAGCCACTGCGCTCCACAAGTGCCCCGAGGTCATGGCCATTCAGGAGCATATAGCCTATACAGGTGGAGTTTAGTGTTCTTCAGGAAGAATCATGTGCGAGGCCTGCCGTGGCCTGCAAGTTGGCATGTGTGTGCTTCAATTTTGTTTTTGTTTTTTTGGTGTATTTGTTTGTTTGTTTTTAGTTCTGTGGTATACTCCACGGGTCTGGGATTTTCCCCGCCCTGCCTGCTGAGTTTGCCCATATTATTACAACAATACATTGCTTCATAAGCAGTCATAAGTCCATAAGTTTCACTGGGAGTCCATCTTTGCTTTGGAAATAGGGATGCATATTGCATTGTATCTTCACTCTGAATATGACAGTCTCTATTACGCCATCACTATACATTCCCTTAAATGAGAAGCCACAAAAAAAGTCAACAACAGATATGAAGTTAAAACAAAAAATTTACAGCAGCGTGGAGTTGAAAAATGCACCACTCACTAAGCAACTGATGGGTGACAAAAAGAAAACACAGAAGCTTTTTGGTTAAAATAATGCCACCCCCTGCTCATCCTGCACAGCTCGGTGGTGCATCTTGTCTGGGTATCAGATTGGTTCTAGTAGGGCACCTGTGAAAATCAGTGCACTGCTTAGAAGACACATGTTTTGCTCAAATTGTAGACCTCTTCAACATAAAATTAGGCCATCTGTCTCTTCATATAAATTGTATTCAATTATAGCTTGCCTAATACAAAAAGCATTGGCAAATTATAAAAGATAGGCAAGACTTCAGATTGAAAGACTTAATCTCTTCTGCTTATTCCCCGTGTAAAATGCTGTGGTCACTCAGTATCAGAAGTAAAGCCACCGAATTACTGGCACGTAGTATAGAGTGCGCATAGATTCCTGAGCTCTGCTCTCTGCTTTCCTGCAAGGGAACTGTTGAATCAGAATCACACATCGTTTCTACTGTATATGAACTGCAAGGAAAGATGGATAAAAGCAGTTTCTTTTTCTCTCTCTTTTAGACCCTGAAGTGCACCCTCAGAGTGAGGATTACTGGGGCCACGTGAATCCCATTGGACCCCGGGCCTGCTATGACGAAGGCAAGCGGGTGGCAGAGACCATGTGCTACGCCTACATGAAGCAGGTGCAGAAACATGTCCCGTGGCTCATGGAATAGGCAGGATTCCTTGTGCCCGGGCTGGATCCTGGGGAGGCCCAGTTGCCCCACAGCATGCTGTAGTGGTGCTATCAATAGCACTCTCTCTCTCTCTCTCTTTCTCTCTCTCTCTCTCTCTCCAAAAGCTTTGCTGGAGATGAGCCAATAGAACAGGATGCTGTTACGTGACTGATGGGTGTAAATAGGCTGCCAGCTTGTCCTCAGCCACCTCCGGCTTTCTCTGCATTCATGAAGTCCCAAGTTGGCATATCAGTCGCCTCTTTAAGTATAAAATGAATTCCCTGTTGCTTGGCTTACTGTTATTTCCTGCTTTACCACCCATCCCTTCTGCACAGGGTGTTTTGGACATGGCTATTTCAAAGTAAAGATTTGCTCACCCTGATACTTAAGAAATTAAAATTCCCACGCCAGCTCTGCCAACATGTGGTAGAACCCGCTGGCCACTCCGGTCCTAGCCCTGACATGCTGGAGTTCATTGTACCCCCCCCGTGCCTACCTCAGGGCTGTGCAGGAACTGTGAGTTCAGGAGACGGGCTCCCAGGGACTCAGGCAGGGCCTGGGCTGTTCTGCCCCGTTTTTCTCAGGGAGTGTGTCCTTCTGTTGGGATCTCCACTCTGAGATCCTCCTTTTTTAAAGATTTCTTTATTCGTAAGAGCTACACTAAGGAAGAGAGAATCTTCCATCTGCTGATTCAATCCCCAAATGGCTGCAGTGTCTGGAGCTGAGTCAGTCCAAAGCCAGGAGCATCTTCAGGGTCTCCCACATGGGTGCAGGCCCGAGCCGTTGGCTGTCTTCCATCGCTTTCTCGTGCTCAAAAGCAGGGAGGCTTCATGTCACAGGGATGGGGAGCAAGAGCCTCGGGTTCTCACATCACACACTACATGCCCTCTGATACCCAGAAAACACACAGGCACTACGCACACACGCACATGAAGATCCGCTAAACCAAGGTGTGCAGTGAAAACGTGCGGTTCCATGGCAGGCAGTCTGTGAGATCTAAAAATTCATTGGAGGAAGTTTTTGGTGCTTTAAAAAAAAATACATTACTGATGACAAGAAAATATCCTTCTGGTTTACAAGAGCAGTACGTGTTTACTGTAGCAATCGAAGCATTTAAAACATGCATAGAAGGAATGAAGGGGTAGGGAGTTACAGACAGAGATGGCCGCGTCCAGTAGCATTGTTGTGTCCCTGGCTATAGGTGGTAGCCACCATTGGGTGCTAAGTCATATCTAGCTGGACACCAAAACAGGTTCTTTTTTTGTTAGAATATCTTAGTGACATAGGTGCAGAGTAGCCTTTTAAGAGCGTATCTGTAGTTCTGCTTTCCCAGGGCAGAGGGCTTTCTTAGTGTTCTATCAGTAGTCAAATATTCATGGACGTAACACCTCTCTTGGGTGACAAATTTGCACAATAGCTTATGTGAAAAGGCTTATAAAGAGCTGTTGAGAGGGCAGGTGGCAGGTTGCGGGCCTGGTGATTGCAGTAATGGTTGACCTAAATGGGGTCTGGCTCCTGGCGCCATCTCTGCGAGAATTCAGATCCCAGTGAGGAGGGACCTGGCAACAGTGATAGCTCAGTTAGCTGAGTCGCTGCCACCTGCTTGGGAGGGAAGACCCGAATTGAACTGCTGGCCCCTGTCTTTGTCTTTGTCTTTGGTCCAGCCACAGCTGCTGTGGGTGGGAACTGTCTTAACAGTCTTGTCTCCGTGTCTCTGCCTTGACATCTCTGCCTCCAATAATCATTTCTAAAAGCCTATTCATGCTGTGATTTCATTTGGAATCACATATTTACTGGATAGGGGGAGGGAACTTTCTTATTGGCACCTTTCCCCCTTTGCAGCCTCTGGCCCCCTTTTGGTCTCCAGGTCAGTCTGTGATGAGGACCTTTCGGAATCAACACAAAGCCTTTCTGACTTGGCAGCGACAGACCGTTTCTTGCACCACAGAGGGTTGGTTTGCCTCACTTCCTCTCCTTTCTCCTCTTTTCCAGGAAGGCGTGGAAGTGCGAGTGGCCAGAATCTTCAACACCTTTGGGCCACGCATGCACATGAATGATGGGCGTGTGGTCAGCAACTTCATCCTGCAAGCTCTCCAGGGGGAGCCACTCACGGTGGGTGCCCTGTGCTGCCACTGAGACCACTGTAGCCCACAAGTGGTGAGGGATGAGTGGGTCTTGATACAGGGAGTAACATTATCACAGTTGCCATTTAGCATCCATGCATTTTCCCCATTCCCCTAGTGAAGAAGGGCAAGCTTGAGGTGACGGTCAGCCTGCCCCACTGAGGACCTGCAAGGCCTTGTTCTGCTGCCTGTCCTTGTCTCCTGCCTGCTCACCTGCCACGATGATGTTTCTTGGCCTGCACCTGAGCCAGGGCTGTGTCTAAATGCCGTTCACTGGTCACCACATGGCCATGAGGCACTGTTGGGTTGCGGTGGGCAAGAGGAAGGGCAGATGTGGGCCATGAACTTTTTTGAAGTCCCGTTATCTATAATGGTTCTCACCTTGGTTACCTGTAACCATATTGTTTTCACTGCACCTGTCATCAACTGAAATAATACATTTCTAGCTTACCAAGTGCTATGAGTTCAAGGGTAAGCCCTTCAAAACCAGGAGATTGTCCTCTTTGTGGCTGTGTCCCTGCTTTCCTGAGTACACGGCATCCAAGTGGCATGAGAGGGAGACCACACCCGTGGTTGGGTGGCTGCTTCCCTAAGCAAGGGTGCAAGTGACCGGGACCAGGCTGGAGGCTCGCAGTTGTAGCTTTTGTACAAGAGGAAACTCCATCCTGTCATTTGGAATTCTGAGGGGTTCGTGCCCTGGGAACCCCTCAGGCCAGCTGTTCCCTTGAGAATTCTGCTCATGGGGACAGCCCCAGTGCCAGTTGAGCCACCACAGTCAGTGACTCTTGGTCCCCCCCGTAAGATCAGAGCCACTTTGTGGAGTACATCATTAAATCACTTCTTGATGTATGGGCTCCTTGGCCGGAGGGCAAGTTCCCAGGCAGCCCCGAGAAGGCACGGGTTGTTGACAGGCAGGTGATAGCAACTCCTGGGCTCCTCTCTCCCCCAACGAGCTTGTGTGCCAGGGCCAGGAGAGCAGGGCTTGTTGGTGCCATCCAGGGTCATCACAGTTCCACACTACACCCGACCTCATCCCTTCCAGAAGCCTTCTGGTGCCTCGGAGGCCCGACGGAGCCTTTTCGGGATACTTGGTTTGCTTTTGTCACACACTAGTATACTTCCCATCAGTAATTCGACACAGTCACCGGTAGGCATCCCCCTTGAGGCCGGTTGAGATGGAGAAGTGTAGCAGAGCCTCATGGGACTGCCCAGAGCCCGCCTTCCTGAGGAGGAACAATAGATGTGTTCCTCTTGCCCTTGCTGCCCCATTCCTGGCAAGTCACCACTGAACCAGGCTTCCTTGTTGTCGCTGAGCTCATGTGACCACTGACATGACAGCTGCTCTGCTGAGAACCTGGCCCCTTTCTCGGGACCCTCTGCAGGGATGATACCCGGAGCCTGTTAGTGCATTGCTCCTTACTGCTATTTAGGGTACCTGTTAGGGGACCCCAGGGACTATTTTGCTATCCTAAATGTATTGTATATAGAAGCTGTGTTTTGAGTGGAATCATGCAGAAATTCAGGAAACACTGGACCCCTGTTAACAGAGTGTGAAAAGTCGTTTGGGTAAATCCAGCTCGTGAAGCCTCCTGGTATTCTCGTTTGTTTTTGTTAAGTTTGATTTATTTATTTGAGAGAGAATACACACTCCCATCTGCTGGCGCACTCCTTAAATACCCACCCTGGCTGTGAGTGAGCCATGCCAGAGCCAGGGATGGCAGGAGCTCAGGCACTTCACGTCACCCGCTGCTGCCAGTCAGGAGCCAGAGCTAAGGGTCAGTGTGGCATGGACCTGCGCCAGCAGGAGGCTTCTCCGCTGCATTGAACTCCCACTCTCCTGGGCTTATTCCTCAAAGAAGCCTGGGCTCAGAATTCAGTAGAAGCATGCACATTTGCAGGGGGCGCTTAACTCTGCTTCGCGCCTTACCACAATTGACTCTAGTTTCCAGGTGAAAAAAGAATTGATTTTATTAAAATAAATTTTCCGTGGACAGCCCTCGTGTGGCAGGATTGGAATTTAATTCCAGATCATGTCTCTTGTTAAAAGTCTTCCAAAGGGAAATGTTGGGAAACCTGCACATTCAGTGCTGGCGTAAATGTTTACCCTTGTCACTCACACCGTGACAGCAGAAGTCATCTGCCCCAGGCCTTCACTGGGGAAAGAAGCCCTAGACTCTGTTGGGGACATCGCTGGAGAGTGACACTTGCTAGCCCACCGGGGGGACAGTTCAGGGGCTCTGGGGCGGGGGTGCACTCCATTCCAGGCACAGCCTAGGCAAGAAGAGATTTGTAGCCAAAGACCAGGGTGGGGGTCAGTGAATGGCAAGTTACCAAGAAGAACTACGTGAAGCTGCCCTGCCCTGCCCTGCCCTGCCCCGCGCATTCTGCTTCTTAGGTCCTGTGGGCCCAGCTGCTGGAGCGTCCCACTGAGAAAGGCCAGCAGGACCACTCACGCTGGGATGCCTAGTCAAGCATGTTACAGGAGATAAGCAGGCAGACACCTGGGGCCCTGTCACTCCCTCGGTCTGTGGCCTTAGGAAGTCTCTGGCAGGTGGAGCATCCCCAGTCTAGAGTCAACATTTTAAACTTTTTTTTTAGTTCAGGCATGGCACGGTGCCACAGGTGGGAAATCGCGCATGCGTCACTTGTAGCAGCCAAAACATTGGTTATGTGCCTGCATGAATCCTGTGTGAGGGCTTGGATCCTGTCCCAGGAGAGCTCACTGTGCGCACGCAGATCCTTAAAGCTCCAAAATGGTCCCTGGTGTTTCCAAGTGCTCAGAGCTCAGTGGGGTACTGAATGGCGGTGCTCAGTCTGCACTGACATACTGGAATGTCCCAGGAGGTGGAGGTCCATGCTAGGCTGGTGGGGAGGAGTTCCACGTGGGGAACAAAGGGACAGCGGCCAGAGTGGGCACTGCATGGAGGTGAGCCAGGAGCAGCACCCTAGGAGGTGAGCTGCTCTGGCCAGCTGGGATACAGGAAAGAGGCAACTTGAATGGCAGGGATTAGCTGCGATGCACAAGTGTGGACTCATGCCAGGGCCACAGAGAGGGCTGGAGGCTGCTCCTAGAGCTGTCCGTGACCTTGGCACATGATAGAATCACTTGGGAAAGCCATATAGCAACATTAGGACGTACCTGCTTATCCCCAGAAAGTGTGTGGACTGCATTGGGCCAAGTGTTGGCTGTTCTGATGGGCAGCCAGGGAGGGTTAATTGTGGGTGGCAGGTCTGTGGCCACGTGGACTCCTGGGGTTGTAGTCCCAGGAGCATAAGTTGTACCTGCCATTTCCGCTTCTAATGGAAGCCACTTCATTTGGGTGCTGTGAGTTTGAAATATAGATGAGCCTGGAGATGCTCTTGAGTCAGTACCACTGCCCCTTTGGGGTCCAGGTACCCCCTGGAGTTAAACGGAGCCCCACCTTCCAGTGCACGTGTGATGTTTGCAGAGACCTAACTGTAAGTTTCCTTCCAGGTGTATGGATCCGGCTCCCAGACGAGGGCATTCCAGTATGTCAGGTAAGGCCCAGCCCGGGCTACTGCAACACAGTGCTGGGGCTAACCAGGGGCTGGGCCAGTGCAGGCACTCTGTGCGTTGTCATGGATATGTGTGTGTGGATGTGCAGCCAGCATCACCGTGAGAGCACATCTCTTTAACGCATCTGACTCCTTTGCTGATCCTCTACTGCCACCTAGCGTTGCACAGGTGGAACTGCCAGCTCGGAGGGTGACTTCCACACTGGCAGAGATGGCCTTAGTCACCTGACACTGCACATTCCGCAGCTGCCTGACCCATGGTGAACACAGGGTTGGGGCACGGATGAGAGTCCTCATTGAGAGTGGGAGATTTGGGAGTGTCCTACTGTTGAATTTTGAACCGAAACTAAATACAGATAAAAAACCAAAACATCCTTTGGAATAGCTTCACAGGGTGGTTTTCACTGTTTTATTACTTATCAGTTTGGTTGGTGGCTCCTAGACAGCAGGCTGGGCTGGGGGAACATTGTGTGCTAAGTAGTCATGTCTACAAGAGTGGCTCCACCAGCCCGTCACTTCTGTGAGCTGTGCAAGGCCCTCCTGCCAGGCTGCAGCATTGGGACCCCACAGTCCTGTCTCTGGGTCATGGCCATGCAACTGTCCCTCAGAAAGTGCTGTTCCTTCTGACCGGGGGCCTTCTCGTGGGCACTGTGGGGTGGAGGTGCTGGCTGAGAGGGCACGGATGTGGGCAACCTCCCAGCGCTTCTCAACTTTAGTCTGATAAGCTGAGGGTCCTGGGTAGCCATGTCTTGGAGAAATGGAACTGCTGGTTAATAAGAGGAAGTGATCGCTGTAGACCAACTTTTCCTGGTTAGTCCAGTAGAAAGCCGCGACTCGACCTGCCTCTCAGCCAGTGTCGTGACCTCCCCGCTCATGCCAAGCAGGGCAGAAGTGTCATAGCGCCAGCCCTGCCCGGGACACTCAGGGGAGCTTAGTCTAAGAAGCCACTTAGCAGGACAGTGGCGGGCACCGCTCCATCAGGACTGGTTCATTCGGAACGCTGAGCTCAGGGCCCACGTGCTGTGTTGGCTGCTTCCTGCAGCAAGACCACACTAATCGCTCCTGTGTGCAGGGAGACCAGCTCTTCGTAACAGCTCGCTCTCCTTCCCTCCTCTGTCATGTGCCCTCCCCCGCAGTGTACACTGTCCCCAGGGCGCTGAAACAGCCACAGACCGCGGACTGGCCTTGAAGGACCTTGTGACATCCGAGGCTCCCCCAGCCGCCACTCCAAGTGGGGCATCATGGGGAGGGCACAGCAGAGGTGCAACTGGTCACCCCCACTTCTCAGAGGCATCACAGGCAAAATTCACTGAAGGGTTGGGGTAGCTGGTGATGAAGATGCTTTGAGCATTTGGAGTTGCCCACGCTGTGTTCTCACCCAGCGGTCACAGCACCCACTCCCAGCTCCCGTGCGAGCCTGACAGACCACTCAGAAAGCTCGGCCAGTTGACTTGCAGGTGACTGCCAGCACTCATGGTGCTGCAGCCTTGTCTCCCTTCAGTGAAGTCTGAGAGGATGACAGACGGGACAAGGCTCGCCAGCACACACAGTGAAATCTGCGTGGCTCTGCCATGTTTCCCTGGGGCACTTGCACCCTCATTCACATAACGGGCGTTGTGTGAAAAAGTCGCTGTGTCAAGGTGACCCTTTCCAAGAGCCCCGGGTTAAGTGAGATTTCACCTTAAAGGTGGCCAGAGAGACGACTTGTCCTATAAGACACACTTGGCGCTGTCTGCCTGCCCTCAGTGAGGACAGCTGCTTGAGAGTGAGCGTCTGACTGTGTGCGTGTATCCGGGCCAACGGGCGGCAGCTTTCACTGTGTCCTTCCCAGCGTGTACAGGTGTGTGCTGGAGCTTGGTGATGGCGGGACCGCTGTCCTGCTGGCCGAGTGACCTGCATGTCCTCGGTGAAGGAGAGCAGGACATCCGAGTTGAGCAGTGACTTAACTGTGAGGACACTTCACGCATGCTCATGTCACATAGCCACTGAGTGAGAAAGCAGAAATAACCGGTTTACTAAATTCACAACCCTAGCCTCCCTCCCACCCTTTTGTTGTTGTTGTTGTTTAATAAAAGGAAAATAAGGTACATCTGGGATTTCCGTTTGGGAACTGACCATGAGCTATAGCAGCCAGCTCCCCCCTGGCACAGATGGAGTTGGAAAAGGGGGTAGAGGTCTGTGTCACCAAGCTCCAACATGGGAAGTCTGCTGAGAGCACAGCCCGCCCGGGAGGCGCACAGGCCAGGGGGACCAGCGTTGAGCAGTGAGGTGCCATTTTTTACAAAGTAACAGAGGCGCACTTTAAAGCTGCTGGAAATCAGGACAAGCCTCGGTAACCCAGAGCTTGCTCGCTCCGTGATGATGCTTGGGAGAAGCCCAGATGCCTGGGTTGAGGCCAAGCCCTCTGGAGGTGGGCCACCAGGCAGCCCCGTTCCGTTGACCGCATCCCTTCAGTTGTCTTGGCTTCCTCCGATTTGCCAGCACAGGACAGGACTTACGCAGACAGATTTATCACTAAGGATCTTGTTTGACAGCATCCCCACCAGCCTGGGCACAGGTCAGCTCGTGGATTCACAGCAAACACAGGGTTCCGTCACGAACCCTGTGAACTCCATCTGTTCTGGGTACATGCCTATTCCAGCTCGTTTGTAGTCCTTAATTAGTAAAGGATTTCAGAAACACCCCAAAGCAGTGAGTCTGCCGCTCACCCAGCTGTCTTCCCGCTGACCGTGTCCACACCCACAGACATCGTGGCTGCCATGTCATGTGTAAACCCCTTAGCGTCACAGATAGCACCTTGGTCTGTAGGCTGTCCTCTTACTCGTCACCTGCTCCCCACCTGCCTGTGTGTTAGCTCCGGCTGTTACCATCAGTAGCATCTCGCCTCCTCTTTTCCAGTGACCTGGTGAACGGCCTCGTGGCGCTCATGAACAGCAACGTCAGCAGCCCAGTCAACCTGGTGAGTCCTGCCTCTGCCCTGCTCGTCCTGGGACAGCTCGGAACCCCACATAGCACCAGACATGGTGCTGCTTTCCTCAGCACACGTGCAGCGTGTCCATTAAACGCTCACCTCGAAACCCACTGCAGCGCGCCGCCAGCCCTGCCACATGTCCTTCCGAAGCTGTGAGAGCAGCCACACTTCTTACATAGCCTCTTCCTTCGCTCCTTTTGGATGGACTTCGCCCCGGATTGTTGCGGGACTCCATTACCCTTCTAGAAACCTCTTCCCTAAAAGCTGAGTCACGTGTCTGCCAGCAGCCCCAGAAGTCCCACCTTCTCTCTCATTGCCAAGGCTCTGTGTTGCTAGCTAGCCAGGCTTGTTTGGGTTTTTATAATGAGAACCAGGGCCCCCTGTGGTCTCTGACCATCTGTCTTTAAACCCAGCTAGGAAATTGGGAATGAGAAGTAGTTAGGATATAGAGTTGCCAAACTAGGAGACCTGGGCCTGAGAAGGGAGGTCGACAGCCGCTGCAGTGATGTGTATAAGAAGAAAAGGAAAGAAACAGTTTTCCTCAAAGCCCCCAAAAGCTCAGTGTAGCAGGCTGCAGTCTGTCTCGAGGCTGCGCAGTAGGCTTGTCCGTGAGTGTGCTCATCATCGTGCAGGTTACACACACAGCACACCCAGAGGGAGAGGCGTGACCACTGTGTGAGCTCAGACTTCCTGTGCAAAGTGACCCTCAAGTTACAGAAGCCTTAGGTAAGGGCAACTCTCCTGCAACCTGAGGCAGTACATGTGAGCTGTCATTAGATGCCCTTGACCTAGCCACAGGCCCTTGTCCACGGACACTCCGTAGCCCAGGTAGAGGTCAGATGGGGCTCTGTTGAATCCGCTGCTAAGTGGAGCCCATGTCCACGGACACTCCGTAGCCCAGGTAGAAGTCAGATGGGGCTCAGTTGAATCTGCCTGGTAAGAGGAGCCCTTGTCCATGGACACTCCATAGCCCAGGTAGAGGTCAGATGGGGCTCGTTTGAATCTGCCTGGTAAGTGGAGCCCTTGTCCACGGACTCTCCGTAGTCCAGGTCGAGGTCAGATGGGGCTTGGTTGATTCCGCTGGTAAGTGGAGCCCTTGTCCACGGACACTCCATAGCCCAGGTAGAGGTCAGATGGGGCTCGGTTGAATCTGCTGGTAAGTGGAGTCCCCAGCGGAGGCAGGGTCTGGGGAAGTAGACAGTATATCTGAAGATTTGCTGGGTTACTGTCATCACTGTTATAACCAGAAACTGTTTCTTCTCCAGGGAAACCCAGAAGAACACACAATCCTAGAATTTGCTCAGTTAATTAAAAACCTTGTCGGTAAGTAGGAGAGAACGTGTCTTGAATGAAATCGGTGACACGCCCCCTCCCCCCCATTTGTTGATGATACCTTGGTGAGAAATAGGCAATTCCCAAGGGCTGATTGAACTAGACATGGCCAATTTTTTTTTTTTAAAGATTTATTTTTATTATTTTTTTCATTGGAAAGGCGGATATACAGAGAGGAGAGACAGAGAGGAAGATCTTCCGTCCGATGAGTCACTCCCCAAGTGAGCGCAACGGCCAATGCTATGCCGATCCGAAGCCAGGAGCCTCTTCCAGGTCTCCCACGCGGGTGCAGGGTCCCAAAGCTTTGGGCCGTCCTTGACTGCTTTCCCAGGCCACAGGCAGGGAGCTGGAAGGGAAGCGGGGCTGCCGGGATTAGAACCGGCGCCCATATGGGATCCCGGGCGTGCAAGGCGAGGACCTTTAACCACTTGCGCCATCACGCTGGGCCCAACATGGCCAATTTTTTATCAAGAACATGTTTCCTATTCTCTACGCAAGTAATAGAAAGAGAAAAGGGGGTACAGTTGGTTCGTTCCGTTTTAATTGAAGGTCTGCATACATTAGGAAGAGTAGATTTGTCCCACGTTTGGGGGTGTGATTCCTTTAGATCAAACTGCATAGGTGACAGTCATTTGATTTTTCAGTGCGCGTTCTTGTTGAGCATGGAGACTTAGGGGGAGTGGTAGCAACGACACCAGCTTGTAGTTTTTGGCAAGTTGAAAATGCTTGCTTGCAGCTCTGGCTGGGCTGACTCTGACGTGCTGTGGGCTCTGTCACCTTAGAAGGAGAGCTCGTGTCCAGGCATGCCCTTAAACTTTAGAATCTTGTGTGTTCTGGGCCTAATCCCAAGTCTTAGTGGAGGCCTGGTAGCTTAGCCCTTGGAGGTGTCCTGATCCTGGAGGGAGGTAAGCCAGAAATTTAAGTCAAGACACATGGGACTGGCTTGGTGGCTGCCCCCACAATTCAGCACGCTAGAAGGTGCTCTGACACGAGCTGCATAGCCCACCTGGTGTGAGCTGTCATTGCGTTGTTCTAATGCCTGCACAGCTGGGACCCTGTTTCCCCAGGCGTTGGATGCACACCTCTTTAGACATGAACTGCAGCCTCCCGTGGCTCCAGCAGCTCGCACGGCTCTGGGTAGATCCACCTGCCAACTTCTCCATCGCAGGCTGTCTGTGCCCCCCTAGGAAGGATGAGTGTACAGAGGGCATTGCTGCGTGCCTCCCACTCCTAACCCTGCCACCCAGCGTGGGACCCCCGATGGACCTCCCTGAGCAGAATGCGCTGTGGTCTGTGCATGTTGGTATGTGAGAAGCACAGTTCCTCATCCCAGAGGGATGTGAGAGCCTTGTTGTGTTACCACACAGGCCTGCAGACCAGCACCCCATGCTGCAGCTCTCATGGAGCCAGAAGAAAGCTGCACAGGGTCTGCCCCGGTGTGGCCACCACACTCCTTGGGAGTCCAGGGGCAGTCCTGGGTAGCTTGACAGCTTTGTGAAAACCGTGTGCAAAGGACCCATACTACGGCTGCACCACTGCAGGTAGCATCTTGTGACTCTTGCCTTTTTTCCAGGCAGTGGAAGTGAAATCCAGTTTCTCTCCGAAGCCCAAGATGACCCACAGAAAAGAAAACCAGACATCAAAAGAGCCAAGCTGATGCTGGGATGGGAGCCTGTGGTACGTGCAGGGGTTCTGCCCTGGTGGAGGGTCCACAGTGCCGGCCATTGCTCTGCCCCACTCACATGGACGCGAGCCAGGAGCCCTTCAGCTGCGTTCAGGATGCAGTGACACTCATCACTGTGAAGTGAGGCCTGAACCCAGCTGTCTGTTATGGTAGGAGGTCTCCTGCGAGGCCTGGGGCGGTGAGGCCTTCTGCTAATGTGCACTCTCTCTCTCTGTGTCTGTATCTCTCTCTCTGTCTCTCTCTATCTCTCTCTCTCTCTCTCTCTCTCTGTCTCTCTCGTTGTGACCTCACACAGGTCCCGCTGGAGGAAGGTCTAAACAAAGCGATTCACTACTTCCGTAAAGAACTGGAATACCAGGCAAATAACCAGTACATCCCCAAACCAAAGCCCGCCAGAATCAAAAAGGGACGAACACGCCACAGCTGAATCCCTCCGCTCTTAGGACACGAGGACTCCATGTTTTACACTTGATGAGATGTATTTTTTTTTAAAAAAAGAAAGACTTTTTAACAGGTGTCATGAAGAACAAACTGGAATTTCATCCTGAAGCTTGCTTTAAAGAAATGGATGTGCCTAAAAGTTCCCCTCAGAACCCTGCAGACTTCGCCTTGCACTTTTTGGATCTGTCTTTTGATGTAAAATAGCGTAGATGCATCCCTGCCGACTTCCAGGTTTTTTATCTTGCTGTGAGAGCTATGTCGTGACTGTCGCTGACAGTTTTATTTACTGGTTTCTTTGCGAAGCTGAAAAGGAACATTAAATGGAATGAAAAACATCGATGATATTTATAAATGAGACGTTACACTATGCATAAGGAAAACAAACAGTATTGTCAGGTAGGTGGTGTCCCGGCACTCACCTTCAGGCAGGTAAAAACAAATTCTGTTGGAGAGCTTTATGTTTCTTTTTAATCCAGAATTTTTCCACGGTCTAGTTTTTAGCTACAAACTTGACTTTGAGATATTTCTGTTGGTTATCATGATCAAGGATATTTGAAATCACTACTGTATTGTGCTGCATATTCGGGGGGAGGGGTGCGGGAGGGAATGAAGTCCTTGGACAACCGTGGTTAAATATACTATTTTAATAAAATATGGAATCTTACCACCTGTGGACTTGGAATTTAAACATTGGCACTCATCTCTGCCTGGAACCATCACTGGGTTACTAAGGAAATAACGAAGCCTTGTGGACATCCTGGTTCGTGTGGTTCATAATGGGACGTGTGAACATTGAAACTGCGTGAATGCTGCTGCAGCTGAGGCTGTGCGTGTCATGCAGGTTGAGTATCCCGTACCCAGATGCTTGGGGGCAAAGAATATTGGAGAGTTCCATTTTTCAGATTTGGGAATGTTTCCGTAGACTTGCTAGTTGAGCATCCCTAATCTGAGTAGTGAGTTGCTTCGAAATCCAGAACTTTGAGCGTGGCACTCAGAAAGAGCTTTTAGAGTATTGTGAATTTCAGGTTTACAGACTGGAACTAACTGCCGTGTGAAGTATTCAGGTCTTCCCCAGAGTCAGCCTGTGACCTTCCTGGGCAACACAGCGTCGATGGAGACCAAGAAGGACCGTTGGTCTTTAGCAGGATTTGTGGACTAAGAAGCTCACTGAGTGAAAACTGTGAGAGCTTCTGTTTTCATTAGGTATAATGCTCAGTTGTTATTTTTCCCACATTTTCCAAGTTGATTGGCTCCACCCATTAGCAACAAAAGCCTGGACAGGCACTGGGTAAACGGGCGGATGGAATAGTTGCTTCTGAGAGCATAAACATTTAAAACTAGGACATGCTGAGATACCTAACTCATGTCAACAACACTTGCCTGTCCTTCAAAATCACCTTGGGATTTTATTTTCTGATTGGGCTTGTTTGTTGCATCATTGTCTTGCGCCTAGCCAAGGATGCTGCATTTCCAGGAAGATGCTGAAGTCCCAAGGATGCTAAGGGTTGGATTCATCATTTCTTCCTGAACTTGGTGAGGTGCTACTGACTGGGCTGGATGGAAAGAGCTGGGAGCTAACTCGGGCCATGGTGACCACATTCATGGGGAAGTGCATGAGTTGTGTAGAGCCAGGCCATGCAGTGCAGGCTAGAAGAGACCCCAGAGCCCAGAATTAGCCCTGTTACATCACACTGGGAGTAGCCCGACACCCCAAAGCCCAGAACCCTCTTAACACTGTTACTTGACAGCACCTGGTTCATTCTTTTGATTTTCTTTATGATTCCCACCATATTTTCAGGAAAGGATGGAATAGGAATTGTGTCAAGTTCTCTAAGCAAAGGGGTAATGTATGCAGGGACCCATGGCAAGTTAAGCCCAGGAATGGTCCAGGAAGAGGGTAGTGTGGTGTGAATGTCAGGTCGTTCCCTAAATTCCCTTGTAGAAACCTAATCTTAGTTCAGGTGTACTAAGGTGTGGCCTTTGGGCCCCATCAGTGCAATTTGCACCCTTATAAGAGAAGCCCAAGGGTCTCGTTCCCCCTGTTACTCCACGAAGGGACACAGATGGTTCTGAAGCAGAGTGAGGGCTTTCACCAGGCTCCACAAGTGTGCTGGTGCTTTGGTCATGGACCTCAGCCTCGGGCACTGAGGGTGAGCTAGCCAGCATCAAGCGCTGTTAGAGCAGTTGGAACAGATGATGGGGCACACCTGCGGTTCAGAAACACCGCTGCTGTGTACAAGAATTGCACTGGGACTGTCGCTCATTACCGCAGTGACAGTCCCAGGGACCCAAGCAAGGTGCACATCAGAGAGTCCAGACTTCCTCATGGGTGCTGGGCCCAGCCCACTGCACCAGGTGGCACCTCAGCACTGTGGCTGCTCCTCACAAGGGCTGACCACAGCTTTGGCACCTCATGGGCTGCGTGCTGGTGGATTATTCTTTGTTGTACATGAGCTGGACTCCATTTCAATCGGGCCTCAATGCTGAGTTCCAGTTAGTATTGTTTCAGGAGACTGGGAAGTGTGGCAAATCCACATCAGTTGCCTGGGACTCAGGACCTGTGAGTTTTAAAGATATTGTCTACTAACAACCTGTTGGCTGTTGCAGATCCCAGGCCAGGTCGGACTCCATGCTCAGAGCCCTGATTCCAGCCATCATGAACACGCAGTGAGCTGTGCCCAGGCCTGCCTGAGCACCAGAGACTACTCCCTTCCTGGTGAGTACACTGAGAGAGGAATTCTTGAGAACAGGGTAGGCCCAGGCCCCACCAGCTGCCAACATCGTGCAGTGGATGGGATCAGGATGGGGTGACCTTAGGGTCTGGGGGGTAAAACTTCCAGCAGCCTGTTGGCTGTTGGCAGGTTGCAGGCCAGGTTGGATTCCATGCTTGGAGCCCTGATTCCAGCCACTGTGAACACACAGTGAGCTTTCCGCTGGTGGCCAGTGCGCCATTTGGCACCAGGCTCCACCTGCTGGCCACCCAGTGGTGAGTTCTGGGGTTCTGGGGTTTTGAATTGCTGCCTAGTTACCTCCATGTTGAGCCCACTGTGCTTCTGGGTTCTGAATCAATCCTGAAGACCCCGAACAACAAAAAGAGTTACTTTTCCTTTGAAGGTAAGCAAGGGTACTGAGACCTGATAGTGTGGAGGAGAAGAACCAGATATCTTTATGGTTCAGACTGATATTCCAGCCTCTTTTGAGTCCTTTGTAGAACTTATTATCACTGAACAATGCAGACCACCGTACACCAGTCCATGCAAAAGCTAAGGCTGGGGGCTTGTCCAGCAAGACCAGATCTTAGTACCTGACAGAATGAAGTATCAGGAGACAGGTCACATTAGGCAGGGCCATGACATTTAAGCACATGGGAGAGCCATTTCCAGGAGTAGATTCTGTCCGGAATTTGTGGGCCAAACCCTGTGGAAATACTAGCCCCACTGGTTAGCTCAAGAATTGGGGTGGTGATGGACTAAGCAAGGTATAAACAAGGAGCCTGCCATCACTCACAGGTAAAGGAATCGACAACAGTCTGAACTGGTCAAGGCAGTAGCACCTGAACGTGCATCCTAAATAGGATGTGGGGTGGGCCAGGCTGCAACATTCACCAGCTCATGGAAGGCCAAGACTATGCTGGACACTGGCCTAAAACCCACTGGCATGTGTGAGAACTGGGTCTGAAAGTAGGTCAAGTGGAAGAACTTGGGAAACTCTCCTGGTGGGTCATAACTCCCACTGGTGAACAATGGTCCAGACTTGGGTGTTGGACAAGCTGGGCAAAGTACCTCCAATGGCTGGCTAATGTATGGGTTGGTAATGGAACAGGGTGAACTGGGCAGGCCCAAGCAAAGCTTAGCTCACAAGCAAAAATAGAAATCAGGATGGAGCACAGGTCATGCCGAGCTAGGATCTTGCACCTACTGGTCTGTATGAGCCAGAGACTCTAGGCCACAGCATCTAAGGCAAAGGCCAAGACAGGCGAGGGACTATGCCAACCTGGGTCAGAGTAACCCCTGGCATGTGCGTGATCTATGGCTGGGAACAGACCGGGTTGGGGAACTAAGGGGACACCCTAGCTGAATTGGGGTTCCCACTGAGGAGTGCAGGGGCTGGAGTGGGGCTGCATTCTGGTCTGGATATGGCTGCATTCTCCCTTCGTACAAGTGTGGACTGGGACTGGACACACCAAGTTCCAGCACCATCTGGTGCTCTGGATGACCAGGGTAGATGTAGGATGGACTCAGAACCCTAACCATGAGGAGAAGTGCAGGTTCCATGGTCTGCCATGGAGTGCAAGTGCCAGAGGCTCAGACGGAGCAGTGGAGAGCGTAACCAGGTATACATGGAGGATATGGCAATCTATCCTGCAGAGGATACCTGGCACCACAACAGAGGACAGAACAATCAAATAACTACCCCAGCCAGGACACACCAGTGAAAACTGGGCAAATGGAGACTCTAAGGGGGACTATGTCAATCAGTGGATTCTGCAGCAACTTCATCGTGCTTAAAAAAGAGGTCTTTGGGCCCGGAGTGATGGCGCAGTGGTTAAGGTCCTTGCCTTGCACGCCCAGGATCCCATATAGGCGCCAGTTCTAATCCCGGCAGCCCCGCTTCCCATCCAGCTCCCTGCCTGTGGCCCGGGAAAGCAGTCGAGGACGACCCAAAGCTTTGGGACCTTGCACCTGTGTGGGAGACCCGGAAGAGTCTCCTGGCTTCGGATCGGCATAGTATTGGCCGTTGCGCTCACTTGGGGAGTGAATCATCAGACGGAAGATCTTCCTCTATGTCTCTCCTCTCTGTATATCTGCCTTTCCAATAAAAATAAAATAAATTAAAAAAAAAGAGGTTTTTTCTTTAAAAAAGACAAAACACACACACAAAGATTTTGTCTACTAAACTGCTTTATGTACTTCACCTGGGCTTTCTCAGCAGTGGCTTGGTACCTTTGGTGAGACATTGGAAACAGCCTGCATTGCTCCCCAAACTGTCACTGGGCTGTCTACTGAGGGATCTGCCTTGCGGCAAGTACAGCAATAGAGTTTTGCTGTACTGGTGAGCAAACAAAATTAACCCATGTGTCTCCTTGATTGTGTTCTGTTGATGCTTAGCCACACTGGGCAATAAGGGTAAATTTTACCAGCAGTTATGTGGAAAGAAGAGTGAAGACTTTAAGAACCTCAATGTTTCATAAAATGTCATCTTAATACTCTTTCAATGTTGAGTTTCTGTGTTTTGGAGTTAATTTTATTTGAAGTAAAATTAATATGGTATAGAGACTCAGGATGCAGGAATCCAAATATCGGGTTCTTCTATTTGCCAGCCTTGTGGGATGGGGGTGGTCCTTAAAGATCCAAGAAAAATTCAAAATGATTTCCCAAGTGTCAGAAAAGTGGACATATTTTGCTGTTGTTTCAAGCACACTCCACATTGCAGATGGAGCTAGGTGTGTGCAGGAAATATTAGACCACAGAATTCTACTGCCATAAAGACATGTGTCCTTCAACCCTACTCCCCACACAGTGCCGGGTAACAGCTGCTTGTATGTTCCCAGTCATCTAGAGCGGGTGTAAAGTACACAGGGGGATTTACATAGGCTCTGTGCAAACTGCCCCTTGGACTTGAGCCTTCGAGGACTTTGCTGACCTCATGAGCCCTGGAAATA